ATTTTATATTCTATTAAAGTTTGCCATACATTTAATATGACTTTGCATAAGTCATGTTAAATGTATGGTCCTAACTGATATGACTGATGTGAGGTTTACTGAAGCACCTTTCACGTCAAAAGGATGTCCCGAGGCGCTGAGATGCCGTAGCATAGACACAACTATAGAATAAACTCAGTGTAGTCCAGTGGATTATAATAATAAATAATAATCCTTGCATTTGATAAGAGCCCCTTTCAGGAAAGCAGGAGGTATCAAAGCACTACACAGGGAGTTCACTGTGTAAATCTGTGAGCGGACTGCCTCCAATACCTTGCCAAAGTGCAACATTTCACGTGGAGAAAGAGTAGAAAATGTGAGAGCTGTCTTAAAAATACCTGGAAAATATCTTACAGCTAAGTGTAAAATTGTGGTAGGATTCTGCTCAGCAAGCATATGTTTTAGGTCGCCTACCGTGTTAAGAATTAAGCAAGTCTCTCTTGCTCTCCTGAACAAAGTAATTGAATGTAGCTTTGCTCGTGATGTGGATTCGTCACGAACCACACAATTTAAGAAAAAAAAATCGCCGCTTCATTGAAACGAGCTGCCAGTCACTTCTACGAATTGCCTTTGCGACACCCGCGAGAGAGAGACCCTGTTGCCTTCACGTCGTTGTTTTCCACGAGTGGATCACAACAAAAAAAAAACGATCTCGATAAAAAACAACAACCGATTCCTTTAAAAGCTCTCACGATTCACAGCAGAACAGTGCTTCTCAAAAGGAATTCCGTGGATCAGGGATTCAGGTGAAATCCACATATCCCGCTCTATAAATGCACGATGTTGTTGTGCACTTCGGTTACTCCCACACAAATAAATCATCAGCTAATCAGTAAATAATTAAAACAATGAATAAGTACAATTAGATAGTGGTTGCTCCAAGTGAACGGGGTCTTAACAGCCTCCGAAGTAAGTTCCTGGCGCAAACAGATGGGATAGTGAGCAGGAACTCACTGAAATAACTTCAATCTGGGAGTCACGTGAACTGGGATTCACTCAGGATAATGCTGTGGTATTCCAGATCCCGGCCCCTAATCCCACAATTCAATGTGTGAATGTTTTTTGCGCCCGCTCTGTGTGTAACGGCACATATTTGGAAGCCGCGGATAAATTCCCTAACTGCAGTGAATTCGATTTTTTTTTTTTTACACAGATCTACATTAAATACAGCAAAGAATTTTACAAAGATTTATGCAACACGCACTTGGCGAATGCTGGGTTTAATACTTTTGAGTGTGAATCAGCCAACGTTCTACGCGTCTGTTTTTGTTCACGACAACGTTGTTTATTGAAAGCAAAGTCGGAGTTTGGTCTCGATCACAAAGTGCTCGGTCGTGATCGTTTTTTTTGGTGATGATACAGTTTGCAACAAAAACACACACTGAACAAAAACTTTTGTTTGTTTCCTTTTCACCGGGCTGCTCGCCTCGCCTCGCCCTAAACTGCTTTGAGATGGGGCTTCGACTAAAGAGATTAAAAAAAACAAATCGCACGCAAAATAAATATCAGACAAGATCGCGAGAGATCGGTCCATTTGACCTCATCGTTCACCAGTGCAGTGTCCCCCTCCCATCACAGCACCGAGTTTATTTTTGAGACGTCTTGAAGACATGATAAAGCGCTATATCAAATGCAAGGATTACTATTATTATTATTATTAATTATTATTTGAATGAGTCCCTGCGTTCTCGACTCTCCGCCGTTCTTAATAAAAAGCTCTCCCTTGAAAATGCAGTGCTCAGGAGCTAAAACACACACATATACATATATATATTTATGCGGTCCCAAGTTCTATGTGTAGTCTGGGCCGAGTGAGTTTATTTCACCCGAGAAGGTGTTTGGATGTGACAACTGACCTCAAGTTGCCCAACTCTGGGAACATCCATCAGTTGGTGCTGATGTGGCGCTGGTTACTCTGGAGTGCCCCCTGCTGGGGAGAGAGGGGAACTCGCTCCAATTGAACGACCTATCATCCCCTTCCCCCCCCAGCCATCCCCCCCCCCCACCCTCTCCCCTCCCCCCTCCTCTCCCCCCCCTCCCCCCCCTCCTCTCCCCCTCCCCACTCCTCTCCAAACCCCCCTCCTCTCCCCCCCTCTCCCCCCCTCCCCCCCCCCCCTCTCCCCCTCCTCTCCCCCCCCACCTCTCCCCTCCCCTCCCCCCCCCCTCTCCCCTCCCCCCCCTCCCACCCCCTCCTCTCCCCCCCACCCTCTCCCCCTCCTCTCCCCCCCCACCCCTCCCCTCCCCCCCCCACCCTCTCCCCCCCCCTCTCCCCCCCCACCCTCTCCCCCCCACCCTCTCCCCCTCCCACCCTCTCCCCTCCCACCCCCCCATGTAATGATTTTTTTTCCCCAAACGAATAATATTATTATGAATTACCCGAAGAGACAGACTTCGGTCATATGGTCCACCATCACCATCACCATCACCAGAGGGGGAGAGGGACAATGATCATTTCTCCCTTAGGGCGAAGTCAGTAGTAGTTGTACCCACTGTGATCTCTGTGGTTAAAGTGACTCTCCGGGTGTTCTGTTCTGTTCTGTTCGGTTTCTTTTGCGACGACTATCGAAAGGAGGAGAGAAAAAACAATGAGTTAAAAACACAGGTTGTTCTGTGTTTGAAGCTTCTCCACATCAGTCAAAACCCATCACCGCACCACAACTGCACCGAAACTCAAACCCCAACCGATTCCCATCCAAATTGGGGGGAAAACTTTGCCCATAGTTTGAACTCTTTTTCATTCGCATTTTTTTTTTATTTTGCTTCAAAACTCCTTTATTAAAAAAAAACTCACTCAACTGGAAACCTCGGGTTCCCCCGGGATTCCCCGGGTACCTCCTGCTCTCTGGTTCTTGCATTTTTTCTTGGGGATGGGGAGGGGGTGGGGATGGGGGTGGGGGATGGGGGAGGGGGTGGGGGGAGGGGGGATGGGGGGAGGGGGTGGGGGGGAGGGGGTGGAGATGGGGGGAGGGGGTGGGGGGAGGGGGTGGGGATGGGGGGAGGGGGTGGGGGGGAGGGGGTGGAGATGGGGGGGGAGGGGATGTGGGGGGAAGGGTGGAGGGGGTGGGGGGGAAGGGGGGAAATAAAAAAAGTCATCTGATATCCACTTGGTTTCTTTCACACACATTAAAAAAAAAGTCTTTTTCTTGGCCCAGGACCTGATTACAGTTGTCTCTTGTTTCACATCTTTCTTATCCCACACAATGAATTGATTGATTAATAATAATTATTATTATCAATAATGAATTGATTGATTGATTGATTGATTGATCCAATCTGCCTCAGTGCCAGAGCTGCCATTGCTGTGGCACTGTCTCTCTGGTGTACAGGTGATTGCAGGGGTTCAGCTCCACGTTTGGTTGAGGAGTGACTGTAGAGGTTTGTGTTGTATTTTAATGTGTTTGAAACGGGAAAAAAAGGGGGTCATTGAATATCAAACTCCATACTCTTTGGTTTGATTGATTTCTCCACTGACCTGTTGACTCTTACCCCCACACACACACCCCCACACTCCCCCCCCACCCACACCCACACACCCCCCCACACACACACACCCACACTACCCCCACACCCCCCCCCCCCACACACACACACACTCCCCCCACACACACACCCCCACACACACACACTCTCCCCACACACACACACCCACACCCACACCCACACACACCCCTCCCTCCCTTCCCTTCAGACCAGTTAGTGGGGGCTGAGTGCTGTTGGTGTTGGGGTGGGGATGGGGATGGTGTTGGGGTGAGGGATGGTGTTGGGATGGGGGTGGTGTTGGGGATGGTGTTGGGGTGGGGGTGGTGTTGGGTGGGGATGGGGGTGGTGTTGGAGTGGGGATGGGGGTGGTGTTGGGTGGGGATGGGGTGGTGTTGGAGTGGGGGCTGGTGTGGGGGTGGGGATGGTGTTGGGGTGGGGGTGGTGTTGGGGTGGTGTTGGGGTGGGGATGGGGGTGGTGTTGGGGTGGTGTTGGGGTGGGGGTGGTGTTGGGGTGGTGTTGGGGATGGGGTGGTGTTGGGGTGGGGATGGGGTGGTGTTGGGGTGGTGGTGGTGGTGGTGTTGGGGTGGTGTTGGGGTGGTGTTGGGGTGGTGTTGGGGTGGTGTTGGGGATGGGGTGGTGTTGGGGTGGGGATGGGGTGGTGTTGGGGGGTGGGGATGGGGTGGGGTGGGGTGGTGTTGGGGTGGGGGTGGTGTTGGGGTGGGGGGTGGTGTTGGGGTGGGGTGGGGATGGGGTGGGGGTGGTGTTGGGGGTGGTGTTGGGGGTGGGTGTTGGGGTGGTGTGGGGTGGGGGTGGGGTGGTGTGGGGTGGTGTTGGGGTGGGGCTGGTGTGGGGTGGGGATGGGGTGGTGTTGCGGTGGGGGCTGGTGTGGGGCTGGTGTGGGGGTGGGGATGGGGACTGACGCAGGGCGGACACAGTGGGGCTCAGACTGTCCCGGTGTTTACATGGAGTGAGTCCGGCGCTGCGTCTCTGGTGACGCGCTGAGCGCTCGGGTTCCCACAGCTATAAAGGCAGTGAGTGGCCACTGCACCGTCAGCCACACACCGCAGCGCAGAGGGGGACAGTCTCAGCTCAGCCTCAGCTCCAACCTCAGCTCAGTCTCAGCTCAGCTCAGTCTCAGCTCAGCTCCAGTCTCAGCTCAGCTCAACCTCAGCTCAGTCTCAGCTCAGCTCAGTCTCAGCTCAGCTCCAGTCTCAGCTCAGCTCAACCTCAGCTCAGTCTCAGCTCAGCTCCAGTCTCAGCTCAGCTCAACCTCAGCTCAGTCTCAGCTCCAGTCTCAGCTCAGTCTCAGCTCAGCTCCAGTCTCAGCTCAGTCTCAGCTCAGCTCCAGTCTCAGCTCAGTCTCAGCTCAGCTCAACCTCAGCTCAGTCTCAGCTCCAGTCTCAGCTCAGTCTCAGCTCAGCTCAGTCTCAGCTCAGTCTCAGCTCAGTCTCAGCTCCAGTCTCAGCTCCAGTCTCAGCTCAGCCTCAGCTCAGCCTCAGCTCAGCCTCAGCCTTCGCTGTGGGGGTACCACTTGTCTGGCGGTGCCGACCCTCTCGCCTCCATCTCCTCCCAATCCCACCCAAACCGAAGCCTCCGTCCAAGTCGCGATGATCAAGAAGACGTCTTGTTGCGACCCTGAGCTGAACATCCCCGCCAAGAACTGCTACCGTATGGTCATCCTGGGCTCCTCCAAAGTGGGTAAGACGGCCATCGTGTCGCGCTTCCTCAACGGCAAGTTCGAGGAGCAGTACACACCGACCATCGAGGACTTCCACCGCAAGTTCTACAGCATCCGCGGGGATGTCTATCAACTGGACATCCTGGACACGTCTGGGAACCATCCCTTCCCGGCCATGAGGCGCCTGTCAATCCTCACAGGTACAGACACCTCACACCGCGGGGGGGGGGGGGGGGGGTGAGGATGGGTGGGGGTATGGGGGGTGGGGGTGAGGATGGGTGGGGGTATGGGGGTGGGGGTGAGGATGGGTGGGTGGGGGTGAGGATGGTGGGGGTATGGGGGTGGGGGTGAGGATGGGTGGGTGGGGTGAGGTGGGGGGTGGGGGTGAGGATGGGTGGGGGTGTTGGTGTGGGTGGTGGGGGTGAGGATGGGTGGGGGTGGTGGGGGGGGGGGTGGTTGAGACAACCCTGCAGTGGTCTGACCAATATTTAGGGGGTGGAAAGAGGGGAAGATTTTTACAATCACTTGTTTCGGGCTGGAGGGGGGGCGGGGGTTGGTTGGGGCGGGGGGGGGGGGGTGGTTGGGGCGGGGGGGGGGGGGGGGGGGGGAGAAAGGGGGAAACTTTCTACTGCACTTTTTTAATGTCTAAAACAACAATAATAATGATAAGTAACCGTTGCATTTGATGTAATGCCTTATTCGCGTCTCCGAGACATCTCAAAGCGCTTCACATTATATACTGAATTGACTGTATATTGTGTGTGTGTGAGGGGGGGGCGTGGGGGGGGGGGGGGGCAGATGGTCATTTTTGCTTGGAAAAGGGACACCAGAGAGAGAGAGAGGGAGGGGGGTGTGGGGGCAGACGAGGAGATGCTGAGGTTGATTCAGAAACAGCCTTTGTGCTGATGTCGGATGTTCTTCCCTCCATTACAGGCGATGTCTTCATCCTTGTGTTCAGCCTCGACAACCGAGACTCATTCGAAGAGGTGCAGCGGCTGAAGCAGCAGATCATGGAGACCAAGTCGTGTTTGAAGAACAAGACCAAGGAGAACATCGACGTGCCCATAGTCATCTGCGGCAACAAGGGCGACAGGGACTTTTACCGGGAGGTGCAGAGAGAGGAGGTCCAGCAGCTGGTGGAGGGCGACAAAAAATGCGCCTACTTCGAAATCTCTGCCAAGAGGAACACCAGCCTGGACGAGATGTTCCAGGCCCTGTTCACCATGGCCAAGCTGCCCAGCGAGATGAGCCCCGACCTGCACAGGAAGGTGTCGGTCCAGTACTGTGACATTCTGCATCGCAAGAGCTTCAGGAGCAGGAAGCTGAAAGATGAGGACGCTTACGGGGTGGTGGCCCCCTTTGCCCGGAGACCCAGCGTCCACAGTGACTTGATGTACATCAAAGAGAAAGCCATCGGCGGCTCTCACAGCAGAGACAAGGAGAGGTGTGCCATCAGCTAAGCCCCAGTGGACCACGTTATGGAAGTTATTTTTTTGCTTAGGAAAAAGGAGACACAGAGAGAGAGAGAAAGAGAGAGGAGACACAGAGAGAGAGAGAGGAGACAGAGAGAGAGAAAGAGAGAGAAGGGGAAAATGGAAAGGAAAGTAATGGAGCCTTAGTTGGGTTCAGAAGCTCCATCCGCCCAAACGTGCCAGAGATAGACAAGGAGGTCGGGGGAGAGGCGGGTGGTTGGTTTTCTGACTGGGAAACCGTTCAATGTGCTGTGTGGATGGCGTTCAACGGGGTTGGGGGGGGTCTGGGGGTTGGGGGGGTGGGAGGGGGAGTAGTTTATCCATCTCCGAAAGCACCTCTGGCAGGTCGTTGGCTCCCAGTGAGGCGTTAGAGACTGATGGATACACCACAGAGCACTGGGGGGTGTTTGATGTGGGGGAGCGAGGACAGGTGTGTCTGGTGGGTGTGTGGGTGTGGGGGAGTCTCCACTGCAAACAGTTATGTGGGTCACCCACACACTGTGCCGCGTGTGTCGGGTTTTCTAGAATTTGTTTTCACGTACAGTATAAGGGGAACATGTATCGACTCCAACATGATCCGCGTGTGCAAACAGCTGTAAACTGTCGTTGACAAAATGCCTACACACACCTAAACACAACCCCAAACACACCCCAAACACACACCCAAACACACACCCAAACACACCCACAAACACACACCTAAACACACACCTAAACACAACCCCAAACACACCCCCAAACACACCCAAACACAACCCCAAACACACACCCAAACACACACCCAAACACACCCAAACACACACCCAAACACACACCTAAACACAACCCCAAACACACCCAAACACACACCCAAACACACACCCAAACACACACCCAAACACACCCACAAACACAAACGCACAAACACACCCAAACACCCACAAACACACCCAAACACCCACAAACACAGCCAAACACCCACACCCACAAACACAGACTGTTTTACAGCGGTCAGTGCGCAATTGTCACCACAAGAAACACTTGAAAATATGAACAACGCGTTTTTTAAAAAAAAAAATCTATATGAAAAAAATAAATGTTTTTGAAACGATGTTTGCTTTCTGATGTGGTGACTATTATTTGCACAGTCAGTCCAGACACTTGGTAATACAATCATTACAGTAATAGTAATACTATTATAATACTATAATATTATGTTATAATATTATAATAGGGTAATTGTTCTATAAACTCGTTGACTATGGCAAAAAAAACAAATCTTGGGATTCTCTCACCCTATTCCCCCCCCAAACAAAAGTCACTTTTTAAACATTATATTCTGTGTAATAAATATCACATATTCATTCATTATATATCCCAAGAACAGGCGGTGAAGGTTGCAATGATTTCACCCCAATCCATAATATTCCAAATTCTTTCAATTCAACACAAGTTACCTCCCCTTCACCCCCACCGAAAAAAAACCTTTGAACTTCACAAGAAAGCTTTTAAAATAAACGTTCTTTTCAACTTAAAACCGACAACTGTAACCTCACGCTCAGACCCACTCCGCTGTCTATCCACTTGGCACCTCAATAGAGGGGGTACACAGTGAATGAATGTTTCTCTGCCCAAATCCACGATTATTTTGGTGTCACTTTCAATCGCCCACAAGAAAACGCCCCGAAAATGCGAGCTCTGGACTGCCAGGAGACTTCCAGAGGTTAATCGACACCTTGTCAAGGCAACCTTCATAGCAAAGAGGTCCCCCCACCCCCCGCCCCACAGAATAATGGTCAATATAACACGTTTGAGTGTAAAATCGCACCTCTCCTCTCCTCAAACGCCCCCCCTACCCCCAGCTTTCTCGCAAGTCCTTACTGCTATCATTTCATCCCCTCGGTGATGTGTTGATGTGCGCCTGGCAATGGGACTGGAATTGTAGAGTCCCATCGTGAACAACCACATCAAGGAAGATCCAGATCTTACAGCAAGTCTTGGCTCGGTTTAAACTGCAAGAGACAACTCCATTCATTCTGCAGCCCACCACAACAGCCCCCCTCCCCACCCCATCACCCCCCCCCCCACACACACACACACACACCACACAATAAGCCATTCTCAATTCAAGTTATGAAGCCAATCCTTGGGTTAAAGTCAACGAAATTAACTCTTTGCGTGAATCGCTTTGAGAGGGTTAAACGTGCCGAGGGGTTGTGCTAACCCGCAGGTTTCGTTGCATTTGCATTATTGTTGTGGCATTATTTTACTACATTATCTTATTATATTATCCTGGTTTATTACTTGAGTGAGAATGGTCTTGGGAACTTCTCTTATTGTGTTTATCAGGAAGGCTCACCTTCACAACACATGTCAAATGAAAAGATTATTATTGTTATTAACAATAATGTTACTAACAACAAATTGCATTTATATAGCGCCTTTCTTCATGTTGGGAAGTTCCCGAAGTCCCGAACTTTTAAAGCTTTTATTTATATAGTACATGTAACTCAAGATTTTTTTGTCATTCCTATATACTATTGCAAAGTATTTGCAGTAACTTTGGCTGCAAATGTGGCTACAAGTGGTCTGAACGTGATTGTTCCACGCTGTTTTGAGAAAAGTACCAAGACTTTAATACAAAATGACAGTCTGTCTTGCTGGGTTTTCCAATCAGCCAGATCGATCTCGCTGCAAAAAAGCAGCGCTCGCCTTCAGCAAGTGCTTCACACTGTATATTCATACACGTTGAACTAGCAAATAAGACACGTTAGAGAGCCTGCGTGGGCTGAAAGGCCACGTTTGTTCAAATTGCTAAAGCTGCTACTTGAATGAGTGAACAAAACACCATTTTTAGAAAATTATACAATTTAATTTCTTGAAAACAATGTAAAAAAATTCTTCATAAATAGAAACATAAACATTTTGTGCCTACCTAACTGTGGCCAACACACAAGATCATAGTTAACCCAAAATGCACATCCACCTTTCAAATATACTTTACATATTCTATATTTTACCACCGATGGCACTTTCTGATTCCACACATTAAACAAAGTGCTTCTCTCATTATCAGAATTCTCTTAATTTTATATCTTAACCATGAGAATGCATTGAATTGTGAATAAGACCCAAAAAGCCATAATTCATAGTGAAAGGTCTTAATTTATGGAGGTGGGAAACATCAATAGCGCTGTAATGAAATTTTAATACATAACCCAAGTTATCCTGTGAAGCATTATGAAACCTCCTCCCAATGTGAAGGAGCTATATCAAATGGAAGGATTATTATTATTATTTTATGTTACAAGATCTCCCCTGCCCCAAACAAATCCATCTGTGATCTCTCTCATTAGCGATACCCCTTGTTGGCCACTTCAACGGTAACACAAGTTACTTCCCGTCAGCTTTGAAGCTTCAAAACAGCTCCATCTTCCATAGTTGTGCTTTAGAAATAATGAGGGATCTGATATAGGCAACTGTTCGGTTCACAGATTTGCTGCCTTTTTTTCCTGCTGCCAGTAACAGTTTATAGGTGGGGCATTTGACTGTTGGCAACTTTAAAAATCACAATGATTCTTTATCAAGGCTACAGAAAAGCCAATTCAGATCATGAATTGCATCCTTTTAGGCTCGAGGGGCTGAATGGCCTACTGCTGCTCCTAATTCTTATGTTCTTACGTAAACACAGCATGTGAGCCAAGGAACTGGATTTGACAAACAGATGTGAATGCAAGTCTGAACTGATGAAAATCCTATTGGAAATTCGCATCTCAAACCGTTCTCGTAAAGTTGGGCATATTAGTTAAACAGTAATTAAATGGAAAGTTATCATTTATGCTCAAAGGTCAGTATTAAACCTGACTATACATTACCAGTAAACTATCCTCTCCTATTCCGTGTCTGTTTGGGCTATAGTAGCGCAGACTAGCGCAGACAGAAAGATCTTAGCAAACCATTTTCCAAACACACAAACATGTATTTCGACAGTTATAATAATAATAATAATAATAATAATAATCCTTGCATTTGATATAGCGCTTTTCACGTCGGGAGGACGTCCCAAAGCGCTTCACAGAACACACTGTAAAGTGAATTGACTGTATATTTGTGGGCGAACGCGGCAGCCAATTGCGCACAGCAATGTCCCACAAACAGTCGTAGATTAAAAATGACCAATTTATTATTGTTTTTGGTTTTGGAGGGATTATTATTAGGCTCTGTGTGGAGTAAGGAAACTTGCCCGAGGTTTGGCCCTCTGCCTGGAATTGAACTCAGGTCTCTCACTTGCAAAGCGAGTGCTCTAACCACTGAGCTACAGGACTCCACAAGTTATACATTGAGCAACAAAAGTGTGGACTCAGAATGGAATCTCCTTATTGGCACAATACAGCAATGTCCGTGTCTTATTGTTTGGGAATGTCAAATATGCAAAGACTCTTATATTTCTGCAGAAGTTCTTTCTTGATGCGAACTTGATCTTGCAAATTTTGAAGCTGTTGCTGCTGCTGTTCAGGACTGACATCAATCCCAGGCATTGAAGAAATCGTGTCCCGGGTCTCCTGGAACTTGATCTTCAACTTACTGAGCTCCTGATGCACGTCCTGACTGTCTTTGTCCATGCTGCATTCAACAACAAAAACAGGGGCAGTCATTAAATGTTGGGCCAACGTTTTAAACAGTGTTGGGGGGGAGGGGGGCTGGGGGGAGGGGGCTGGAAGGTGGGGGGCTGGGGGGGGAGGGGGGAGGGGGACTGGGGGGGTGGGGGGCTGGGGGGGAGGGGGGGTGGGGGGCTGGGGGGGAGGGGGGCTGGAGGGTGGGGGGCTGGGGGGGAGGGGGGCTGGGGGGCTGGAGGGGGGGGCTGGGGGGGGACTGGGGGGAGGGGGGCTGGGGGGGAGGGGGCTGGAGGGTGGGGGGCTGGGGGGGAGGGGGGCTGGAGGGTGGGGGGCTGGAGGGTGGGGGCTGGGCGGGAGGGGGCTGGGGAGGGGGCTGGAGGGTGGGGGGGCTGGGGGGGGACTGGGGGGGGAGGGGGGACTGGGGGGGGGGAGGGGGGCTGGGGGGGAGGGGGGCTGAGGGGCTTTACCACTTAATGATGTCGTGGACAAGGGGCAGGAAGGACCAGTCGCCATCTTTCGCCGGCTTCTGGCCCTGACTCTGACCCTGGCTCTGGGTCTGGCTCTGAGGAGCCGCCGCCATCTTCCCCGCGGCCGGAAGTGCCGCCTCGTCACCCATAGCAGCAGATAGACCGCTTTCGGTGTGACGTCACGGGATATACGTCACTTCCGAAACCACCCCTCTCCCCGCCCCGCCCACTTCATTAACCCTTCAGTCTCACACTGACCTGATCCCCACAGCCTCCAACACCACACCAGCAGCACAATAATAATCATAATAACAACCATCATAATAATCATAATAACAATCATCGTAATAATCATAATAACAATCATCATAATAATAATTATAACAACAACAATCATAATAATAATTATAATAAAAATAGTCATAATAATAATTATAACCATAATAATAATAACACTAATCATAATAATAATAACAATAATAATAACAATAATCATAATAATAATAGCAACAATCATAATAATAATTATAACAATAATCATAATAATAATTAGAATAATCATCATCTTAATAATCATAATAATTAGAATAACAGATATAATAATCCTAATCATAATAATCATAATGATCATAATCGTAATCATATTCTTTGCATTTTGATAATAACCTTTAAAGATAAGAAAGATAAAAAGGAAAGAAAGAAAGAAAGAAAGAAAGAAAGAAAGAAAGAAAGAAAGAAAGAAAGAAAGAAAGAAAGAAAGAAAGAAAGATAAAACCCCTTCAGTCTCAAAAGCACTTCACAGAATATACTGTAAAGTATAGTGACTGTTTTTTGGTGAGCGAAACGCGGCAGCCAATTGCGCACAGCGATGTCCCCACAAACAGTCGCGGATTGAAGTGACCAAATTATTATTATTTATTAATTTTATTTGAAGGGATTATTACCCCCGGAAAAGAGATCCACCAATCGATTAAGAACCGGGTTCTTACCGACTGAGGCGTGTGGAGTAAGAAAACTGACCTAAGGTTTCGCTCTGCCCGGGAATCAAACCCAGTTCCTCTCTAACGCCAATAATCCTTCCATTTGATAAATCATGACATCGAGACGTCTTGAACCGCTTCACAGAATACAAATACAAAATTATACATTGAAGTGAATTGACTGTGTATTTTGTGGGTGAACTTACTTTTTATAGATTTTATATAGACCTTTTTTCGGGGGGGGGGGGGCGAAGGGAAAGAACTCCAACTTTCATGTACTGTATGTAGCAAACTTCACATTAAGTAATGTCTCAGATCGCTGTTAACGATGGTGCCAGAACTTCAGCAGGAAGGATATACTGTACCATAAGTAAGGTCAGATGGAGTGGGATTTCAGTTGGCTCTGGATAGAAGGGGGGAAGGTGGGGCTGGGAATACAGAAGGCGAAGGTCTTTGTAGCTGCACTTTAAAGGTTATTATCACATTGCAGTGCATACACCCATTAATTTTTCTTTTTTTTAATATTCTTTAATGCTTTGTGTTATTTTCTGTCTTTTTCATTAATTTCTTCTCAGAATATACCAACAGATGCGTGGCGATGTATTTATAATTAGAATAACAGCTATGATCTGGAGAAAGATAAATAAATAAGGCATTCATACTGCGATCTCATTAAGTGAAAGACAGCTGCTGAACGACAACATAAGCCTCTGAGATACACTCTACTTTTTGCACTGTTCTGTGTTTTTTGCTTCACTGCAAATTGTACCTTGAATGTTCGAACTGAGAGCGTCATGGGAGGCGTTAGGTATTCATTAATTCACTTGATTGTGCTAATTCTCCTTTTGTGAGGTTTGTACCTTCACTGAACACTAAAGCCTGATCAAACAGAATGTTCTCAGTCAGTTGGTAATTTACTGCCAGCTGCGGTAGTTTTGGGTTCATAACATAGTATTTACATAACACGATAGAATGGAATCTTGAGAACAAATACCACATATTATTATTTATTAGATAAACAATAATAATAATCATCGCATTTGACATAGTGCCTCATCACATCTTCGAGACGTCTCAACGCGCTTCACAGAATGTACTGTAAAGTGAATTGACCGTATATTTTGTGGGTGAAATGCGACAGCCAATTGCACACAGAGATATATATAAAATAACCAATATGTGTGTATGTGTGTATATATATTCTCCCTCCCCCTGGCTTGGGTAGTGCTCTGCCACTATCGAGTGCTCTGGGACGCTACCCTGCATGAGGGGTGCTATATAAATGCAAGTTGATGATGTTGTTGAAACTACTGTAGCATCAACGTTAGACAATCTCGGAACTGATCAGATGTGGGCTGTCCACTGCTGTGAAAGGGGAAAATATCTTCCCAATTTGTCACCCTGTAGCAGGAGGTCAATGTTGCCTTTAAAGGAAACTGGAGTTGGAGGATACAATAGCCTAAACTGGCACTGATTGAGCAGCCAATGCAATAACTAAAGACAGCAGCTGAACTGAGGGGAAGTTATTTAAGGGGACTTCCACCCCTGCGAGGTGCTGGGAGGCTGAACTACATGTTGGTCAGTTTGAGGTTGTTGCCCAAGTTGTCCCTTTGACAAAAGCAAAAGCAGTGTTTGTGCTGTAGGGTAGAAGGAAGGGAATAGCCCCAATTTAATGGTGAGGTTTATCTTGTGTTTCTAATTCCAAAACGGCAGTGCCCTACGCTAAATCACGTTCAATACTTGGGGGATTATATGAACTCAAAGGAATCTTTCTCCACCTTTGTAACTGCGCTTTAAAGTTTCAACACTCCAGACCGCAGTAACTGGAGTCTATCTACTTAATCCTCCCCACGTGCATCCATCACATGGCAGCACCATGTCTCCAGGCACCAACTGTACCCTCGCGTGTGTGTGTGCACGTGTGTGTGACTGATCCATGTAGAACGTGTTCTCAGTCTCCAATCAGTCACATGTTATAAGAAATGAATGGCCGTGTAGCTGATGGTGATCCTGTGTTGTGACAGGGTGGGATTATTCCCAAAGATTCTTCTGTCCTTGTGGCTCGGAGAATGCACTTGGATCAACTCACACACGTGGGAACATCAAGTTTCCTATTGTTAACGCTGACATTAAACAAAAACCCAGTGAAATGGAAAGCCCTGTGGATCAGTGGATCTGAATGAATGTAACATGTTTGTTACATGACTGTCCAACAAGTTAAGGTTGTCACCCGTCTCCAAGATTAGGACCAAAGTTAAGGGTTGATTGGATCTTCTTGACGTGTGTCAGGAACACAGCTGTTACAAGATCTTTCTCAAGGTTCCACATCATGGCCCAATTCAGTGGTCTCATTCCAAAAAGTCTGCATTATATAACATTATTATTATTTGTGAGATGTCCCAGACAATGTAAATAGCTGTTCAGATTCCAAGTTCAAGTTGATTATCTTCCCACTAGCTAAATTGCTGCAACATGAATTCAACTTTGAGAAATCCTGTGTTTGTCTGTCTGTCTGTCTGACTCATCGGCTGGTACAAAAAACCCACATGCAATTCACATTACAATATAATTCTGTGATTTACTCAGCACCTCACTGTGAAGAAGAAGAAGAAGAAGAAGAAACATTAATAATTCTAAGAGTATTTGCCAGAAAGTAAGCACATAAAAACAGATTTTAGGGAATTGTAAATTCACCCACGTCCTAGTGCAAATGAATACATCAGGAAGCTTACTGTCTCACCAGCTGGAGCCTGTCAAACTAGAGCAACATATCAACTGGATATGATCTCATTCCTCAACCTAAAAAATGGGTTAAAATTGTAGTTCAGCTCAGATTTTCCATTCTGCCATTGAGAAAGTATTTTGAGGTTAGCAGAACTCCAACGCATTAAAACTCGCGTTGGCTTAGATCAACCGAGCCCCTCAAGTCTGGAAAAGCTTGGATTTTGTCCCAGACTTATCCTAACCATCTCCAGTTCCACGTCAGCAATAATTGTTACCTTTTGGAAAATCAAAGACTGCCTCTGTGATGTGATATTTCTAGGATAAAACGTACCTTGTCAACTTTGTCTCAAAGTGAAACTAATGTAAAACAATCGACAGGATCGGTTAAGAACCAGTCCATTTGAACTTCTAAGAGTTAAGAGTTTTGAAATATGATTTTTCATTTTTCATTCGGAATTTTCTTTATTTAAAATAATTCTAGAACCATAAGCTCTACTTTGCTACCTATTTAGCTGATTCTAAAGAGAGAAGAGAAGGGACGTCCTCCCGACGTGAAAAGCGCTATATCAAAATGCAAGGATTATTATTATAATTATAAGCAATTGGCGCAGATGAAAATCAAATTAAATATCGAAAAAGACTTTCACAATCAGAATTAAAACCATGGCTCGTTATGTATCTCACTCACTCAGGACTGCGTGGGCTGCCACAGGAAATGCTTCAAAGCACACAGTTAAATCTTGCATAAGGGACCTGGCCACCCAATTTCACTCTAGAAATGCAAGCAATCCCCCAGACTTGGATACCAAATCTCCAAGCAAGTTGCTACTGAATAGTAACAGAGACACGGTAATTACTTCGTGCACCAGCATTCGATTAATGATCTAGTTTCAGCAATCCGTACTTCGATATGAACAGAAGATTTCACAATTCTTTCTGAATATGAAATGCTTTACGTCTTATCCACCATATTAACATTATAATGAATGCGCTGATTGAAATCCTGAAATATAGGTTATACTTTCAACAGCTCAGTTTCCAGAGGGGAAAGATTTGATACCTGTCAGTGTGGTTCATTTCCCCTCTCGCTGTCATAGTTAATAAACTGCTGTATTTTTACGCCAGGCAAGTTCTTTAAGAACTCTGCACTTCACTACAGAACCATTGGCTACTAAATGAGTGTTTTGGTGATCAATTGTAATTGCTTTGTAATATTTTACTTCCAACATAAACCGCATAGGAAAAGGTAATGAGTTTTGGTTTTCGCAACCAGTGATACATTCTCCGCTGTTAATAATAAATCCTTTTGGGTTGACTTCACTTTGGTAGATTTGGTAGATTTGTCAAAATAGTTTCGATATGTTGAGTTTGTGTTGCTAAACCTCAAACCTATTATTTAATGGACAGTAAAAATGTATTCTACCAAATTAGCTGTTGACCACTTGGCAAGTTTT